CTGGAGTTTGGATCAGTAGAGGGTCTTCAAGGAATATTCCTTTTACCATCTCTCACAGCTCAGAGGGGACGGCATCGAACGTGGCTATTCGGAGATTCACCACACGGGGGCGATGTGATCCCATTTTGAACAAACCGCGGAGAGTCATGCTGCTCTTCGGCAAAAGTCTGCCCTTTGGGGTCCATTTCCCGGACTCTATCCCATTCTCTCCCGTTTTTCATTTCTAACTCTAGTTAACTGGAAATTGTAGCAATACTCAACATCATAAACCTGGAAACAACCTAAGTGCCCATCACTCCTGTTTTGCTCAAGCCTGTCTCTAACGCATACGTTTGAAAAACGCACACGTTTAAAAAACGCACATTGATAATCAGAAACATTCACTCTTGACTAACTTGCAAAATTACTCCATTGATAAACACACTTCCAAAGATGTGAGTAGGCGTAATTAGCTGAAAGTAAGTTGCACTTAATACATTAAAACAAATTCCATCTTTTTCTTTTAATGTTTTATTTTTACTTCTTAAATTAAAAAAAAATTTAATTTAATTTTTGGAAACAACAGAAATGTTTTTATTACAGCAAATTGGTTTATAACATTATATAAATTTTGAATGTACATTATTATATTTCTATTTCTGTGTCGATTACATCGTGTTCTGCACCCAAAGACTAATTACAATCCATCACCACATGCATGTGCCTAATCCCCCCTCTCACCCTCCTCCCTCCCGTCTTCCTCTCTGGTAACCATCAATCCAATCTCTGTCTCTATGTGTTTCTTTGTTGTTGTTTTTATCTTCCATTTATGAGTGAGATCATGCAGCATTTGACTTTTTCCCTCTGACTTATTTCGCTTAGCATAACACCCTCGAGGCCCATCCATGTTGTCATAGATGGCAAGATTTCATTCTTTTTTATGGCTGAGTAGTATTCCATTGTGTATATATACCACATCTGCTTTATCCCTTCATTCCTTGATGGTCACCTAGGTTGCTTCCAAGTCTTGGCTATTGTGAATAATGCTGCAGTAAACATAGGGTGCATATATCTTTACACATTCGTGCTTTCATGTTCTTTGGATAAATACCCAGCAGTGGAATAGCTGGGTCATATGGTAGCTCTATTCTTAATTTTTTGAGGAATCTCCATATTGTTTTCCATAGTGGCTGCACCAGTTTGCACTCCCACCAGCAGTGCATGAGAGTTCCCTTTTCTCCACATCCTCTCCGATGCTTGCTGTCTTGTTAATTATAGCCATTCTAACGGGAGTGAGGTGATATCTCATTGTAGTTTTGATTTTCACTTCCCTGAAAGTTAATGATGTTGAGCATCCTGTCATGTGCCTGTTGGCCATCTGTATAGCTTCTTTGGAGACATGTCTTTTCAGATCTTTTGCCCATTTTTCAGTCGGGTTGTTAGTTTTTTTTCTTGTTGAGATGTATGAGTTCTTTATATATTTTGGATATTAACCCCTTCTCAGATATATGGTTTCCAAATATCTTCTCCCAGCTGTCAGGTTGCCCTTTCGTTTTGTTGGTGGTTGTCTTTGTTGTACAGAAGCTTTTTAGTATGTTATAGTCCCATTTGTTTGTTTTTTCTATTGTTTCCCTTGCCAAGTCAGACATGGTACTTGAAAATATGCTGCTAAGACTGATGAAGAGTGTACTGCTTAGGTTTTCTTCTAGAAGTTTCATGGTTTCAGGTCTTATATTCAAGTCTTTAATCCATTTTGAGTTAATTTTTGTGTATGGTATAAGCTAATAGTCCACCTTTATTCTTTTGCATGTGGCTGTCCAGTTTTCCCAACACCATTTATTGATGAGACTTTCCTTTCCCCATTGTATGTTCTTGGCTCCCTTGTTGAAAATTAGCTGTCAATAGATGTGTGTGTTTATTTGTGGGCTCTGAATTCTGTTCCATTGATCTGTGTGCCTGTTTTTGTGCCAGTACCATGCTGTTTTGGTCACTATGGCTTTGTATTATATTTTGAAATCAGGGAGTGTGATACCTCTAGCTTTATTCTTTTTTCTCAGGAATCCTTTGGCTATTCGAGGTCTTTTGTTGTTCCATATAAATTTTAGGGTTATTTGTTCTATTTCTGTGAAAAATGTTAGAACTTTGATAAGGATTGTATTAAATCTTAGATTGCTTTAGGACGAATGAACATTTAATTATGTTAATTCTTCCAATCCAAGAACACAGAATATCTTTCCATTTCTTTGTGTCTTCTTCAATTTCTTTCAAAATTGTTTTATAGTTTTTGGTGTACGGGTCTTTCACTTCTTTTGTTAAGTTTATCCCTAGGTATTTTATTCTTTTTGTTGCAGTTGTAAATGGGATTGTATTCTTAATTTCTCTTTCTGTTGTTTGTTTGTAGAAATGCAGCTAGTTTTTGTATGTTGATTTTGTGTCCTGCAACTTTCCTGTATTCAGTTATTTCTTCTGAAAGTTTTTTGGTGGATTCTTGGGGTTTTCTATATATAAACTCATATCATCTGCAAATAATGACAGTTTCTGTTCATGGAGAAAGAGGCAAAATGAAGAGACAAAGGAATACATTCCAAGTAAGGGAAGAGAAAAAAACCCCAGAAAAAGAACTAAATGAAACAGAGATAACCTACCTGACAAAGAGTACAAACTAATAGTCATAAGGATACTCAGTGATCTTGGGAGAAGAGTGGATGAACTCAGTGAGAACTTCGACAAAGAATTAGAAGATATAAAAAGAACCAATATAAATATAATATAAAAAGAAATGAAGACTACAATACTGAAAATGAAAAATTCAGTAGAGGGACTCCATAGCAGAGTAGATGATACAGAAGAACAGATCAGCGAGCTGGACAAAAGACTAGAGGAAATCACCCAAGGTGAATAGATAAAGAAAAAAGAATTAAAAAGAACAAGGACAGTCTACAGGACCTCTGGGACAACATCAAGTGCACTAACATCCATGTTATAGGTGTCACAGAAGGAGAAGAGAGAGACAAAAGGGAAGAGAATCTATTTGAAAAATTAATAGCTGAAAACCTTCTGAACCTAAGGAGGGAAACAGACATCCAAATACAGGAAGCACAGAGAGCACCAAACAAGATAAACCCAAAGAGGCCCACACCAAGACACATTATAATTAAAATATCAAGAATTAAAGATAAAGGGAGAATCCTAAAAGCTGCAAGAGAAAGAACAAGTTACATACAAAGGAAACCACATAAGGCTATCAGCTAACTTCTCAGCAGAAACTTTATAGGATAGAAGGCAGTCGCTCAATATATTTAAAGTGCTTAAAGGAAAAAACTTACAGCCAAGAATGCTGTACCCAGCAAGGTTATCATTCAGAATGGAGGGAGAGATAAAGAGTTTCCCAGACAAGCAAAAACTACAGGAGTTTATCACCAAGAAATTAGCCTTACAAGAAATGCTAAAGGGACTTATTTAAGTGTAAAAGAGAAGTCCACAAATACAAATTTTAAAAATTATCCAAAAAAACCAATAATGGGGGCCAGCCCCATGGCCAAGTGGTTGGGTTTGTGCACTCTGATTTGGTGACCCAGGGTTTCACCAATTCGGACCCTGGGCGTGGATGGCACCACTCATCAAGCCATGCTGAGGCAGCATCCCACATGGCACAGCCAGAAGGACCTACAGCTAGAATATACAACTATATACTGGGGGGCTTTGGGGAGAACAAGAAGAAAAAAAAGAAGATTGGCAACAGATGTTAGCTCAGGTCACAAACTTTATTTAGATTTCCTTAGTTTTTGCCTTATGTCCTTTTTTCTCTTCTAGGATACCAAATTATATTCAGTTGTTAGTTTCTCAGACATTCCTTGTTTTGAATGACCTTGACAGTTTTGTGGAGTACTGGTCAGATGTTTTGTAGCGTGTCCCTCTATTGGAATTTGTCTGACGTTTTTCTTATGATTAGACTGGAGTTATGGGTTTTAGAAGGAAGGTGACACAGGTAATGTGCCATTCACATCACATCAGATCGAAGCTACAGACTGTCAGTGTGATTTGACACTGTTGATGTTGACGTGATCACCTGGTTGAGGTGGCATTTATCAGGTTGTTCCACTGTAAAGCTACTCTTTTTTCTGCTTCTTTCTAGAAAGTCATTATGTGTAGCCCACACTTAAGGTGGGGGAAGTTATGCCTCCCTTCCTTGAGGGTGAACTATCTACATAAGTTATTTGAAATTCTTAATAAATAAACTTTTGCAGCCTAAAACAGAAAATAACCCAACCAAACGAGAGATTGCCTTGAATTAGGAGGATATTTATAGGAAACTAAACAGGAGGGAAACTGCAGCAAAGAGGAAAAGCTTCTTTCCTGGTTCAGTGATACACATAATTTGAAGGACCTGCAATTTGTCTCTGGTCCTTATTCATTGAGCCACTAGGGCTCAAGGCATCTTCTCAGTCCCCTCTCTCATCCCCTGCTGTTGGGGACAACATTTACTCCAGGTGAGATCTGAGTGTTTCCTATTTCTAAAGCTTCCTCAGCAGCTGAGGAGAGAGTTGAACCCCTGGGCTGGGTTGGGAAGTTCTACCAGAAGTCAGACCTGTTGCTATTTTAGCAATTTCTTTTCTTTGAGTATTAGCACTGTTTTACAGAAGGATTTTGAGAAAGTGTTTTCCAGGTGCTGGAAAGAAGAAGCCTAGGGACTAACTCTGGGAATGGTCCATGGGCAGAGGGCAGCCCTTGGGGCGTGGGCAGAGCAGTTCAGCAGATGGACACTGGCCATGGAGCTGGAATGCTTGGTTTCTGAGCCCAGCTTCATTCAGGCCCTGCTGAGGGACCCTGGACACATCCCAACTCGTCTGCATTGTGGTGGTCTCTTCATCATCCTTGGGGTGGGGACTCCAGACCCCAGGACTGACAGCAGGGAATTCTCACGGGCTTAGGCACGGTGATGGGGCAGGAGGAAACTGCTTCCTTCTTTCTGGTCCCCAGGCAAAACTCCCTTCCCCCTTCTTCAGCTTCCCCTGCCTCCCCTACCTCTCCATCCTCTGCTCTGGGAATCAGGCCCTTGGGGGGATTGAGCTCCTGTGATGTGCTGCTGGGGAGTGGCATTCTGAGGGCTGTGGGGACCCAGGTGCAGGTAAAAGCCCCACCTACCTTTTCCGCATAGCCTCTGACCCTGTGTCTTCTCTTTCTCTTGCTTTCGCTGTCACTCCAGCTCTTCCCCTGCCTCACAGTGGGTCTGTCTTTCTTCCATCCTCCTTCTACCAGCTGAGTTTATTCTGTCTGCTCACCCACCTTTCTGTCATATTTTCTGCTGCTTTCTCAAAGGGAGCAGTTCCACCTGTCCCAGCTCTTTGCTCCCAGAACCTGGAACGTGGGTGAGTGGAACAAACCACCCTGGTGTCTCAAGGTCCCAGCCTCGAGGGAGGTCTGCTGTTCCCCCTCAACTCCCCAGTTTTCTTTGCTTTCTGAGCTAAGGGGTTGTCTGGGAGGGAATTGCCAGCATTCCCACCCCACTGCTGATGAGTGGGATGTTCTTGTGGACTAGTCCACGCCTTTCTTGCTGCCACCGGAGCCTTTGTTCTTTGCCTGGCCGCCTCCTGCTGCTGCAGAAGCCCTCTCCTAGCTCTTTCTTCCAGTCTGGCTTTGGGGACATGGGAGGTGGCAATGGGACAGCAGTAACTGAGTTTGTTTTGCTGGGGTTCTCAGGCTTTGGTTCCCTTCAGGGTCCTCTCTTTTGGGGGGTGCTGTGCATCTACCTGGTGACCTTGCTGGGCAACTCCCTGATCACCTCCTCACCCTGGTAGACCCTACCCTGAACTCGCCAATGTATTTCTTCCTTTGGCATTTCTCCATGGTGGAAATCCTCTACGCCACAACCATCGTGCCCAGGATGCTGGCCGATCTCCTCTCTTCCTGCCCCACCATCCCACTTGCCAGCTGCTTCACCCAGCTGTATTTCTTTGCCCTCTTTGGCATCACTGAATGCTGCTTGCTCACTGCCATGGCCTATGACCGCTACACAGCCATCTGCCGGCCACTGCATTATACCACCCTGATGAACCAGGGCGCCTGCGGGAGCATGGTGGGCGCCTCCTACCTCATGGGCATTATCACTGGCATCACTCACTCCATCTTCATCTTCACTTTGCCTTTCCATGGTGCCAACACAATCCATCACTTCCTATGTGACATGCTGCCTGTGCTGAGATTGGCTAGTGCGAGCACCTTCTGGGGTGAAGTGGGCAATCTTGCTGTCACGATAGCCTTCATCTTGACCCCCTTCTCACTGATCATAGCCTCCTATGCCTGTATCCTTGCTACCATCCTTGGAGTTGCGTCATCCCAGGGACGCCAAAAAGTCTCCTCTACCTGTTCCTCCCATCTGTTTGTGGTCATGCTCTTTTTTGGGACTGGAACTGTTGCCTATATGGGGCCTTGGGCAGGCTCCTCTCCGGACACGGACCAGATCCTTGCCCTCTGCTACACAGTTGTCACCCCCATGTTAACCCTTTTGTCTACACTCTGAGGAACAAGGAGGTCACAGGGGCAATGAGGCTGCTCATGAAGAGATACCTTTGGAGCACTTGATCCCCTGGGTTCTTGAAGACAAGTGCTTGATCCTTGGATACTTTCAAGGAGGAGGAGAAGCTGGGCCCCGCAGTCCCCAAGGGTCTGGTCTGCTCTGTGTGGTGTGTGGGCTCCCTGGCCTGCGCGGCTCGAGGGCTCATGGCACTGACCATCTGCTCAGGGCTCTGCTTCTGGGGCCTGTTCTTACGGCCTTGACTTCAGTGTCTGTAGGTGCAGAGGAGGGAAACACAGTTGAGGGAAGGTTGAGGTGGGAAGGCGGCTGTGTCCGTCTCGTGTGACGACTGAGCAATTCCTGGTCTTCCCTGAGGTAGATTCCTGGACCTTCCTGGGGCTGATTCCTGGAGACATCACTCTTCCTCCTTCTCCCAGACTCATCATTGCAAGTCTTTGTCTCTCACGTCTGCTGCCTCTGGTACAACAAGAGCTCCTTTACTCCAAGTCTGAGGTGGATCCTGGCAGGAACAGGGGCTGGGAGTAGATGGTCTGGCTTTGGCAGCTCAGACGCCAAGTCTTGCTGGGTGCTGCTTTGAGTCTGGAAGCATCTGTCTAGTTACTTGGTTCCTGGCTTAAAACTTCTCCTCTGGGATCCCTGAGATGTTGATATTCTCTCCTTAGCTTCTTTCTCGTCTGCTGAAGGACTTGCTCTTCATTTTCTCCTCTGGTCCTAGGGTAGAAGTGCACACACATCTCTTTCCCTGACTCTGATCAGAAGGTCCGATCTGGCCCCTAGACTCCCAAGATGATGCTTTTGTTTCTTGAAAACTGTCCGCTCTTTCTCCTTGGAGGCCACCTTGATTTGCTGGCCAGAGGGAGCCAGCACCATGTTACATTTCTTGGGAAGCCCATTCTTGCGTCAACAAGCTGCAGAGGGAGCAGCACATGCAGGGGAATGCCTCTCAGGGCACAGTGACTGAGGGCCTGGAGACGAGCTTGATTTTCTCCCCCAGTTTATAAAAGTAACGCTGTTCATTGCAGAGAATTTTGCCTCCAGAAGAAAAGAAAACAGCCGTTAACATTTTGGTGGTAATAATATCCTCAGGAAATTATTGCAGTCTTGTTTCCCTCTGTGTACTTATATATAAATATTTTTAAAAACTAGAAATGGGATTATACTGTCTAAATTATTCTATAACTTTTATTTTCTACTTTATTAAGCTATATTGTGGCATTTTACCATATAAATATATTTGTATAGCATGGTTTGAATATCATACAGTATCCTACTGTACAGAGGTACTATGATTTTTAAGCAATCTCCTATTATTGGAATTATAATTTTTTTGTTATAAATATTGCTGAGATAGATATCATTGTACTTATATCTTTGTATACTTATCTTAAACTTCTAGAAATGGAATTGCTGAGACAAAACAAATACACAGTTTTCAAACTTTTGAAACATATTGCCAAATTGCCCCACAAAAGATTTTTTGTTGTTTTACAGTCTGAGGGCAGTTCAATTTTCAGGGCAAGAAAATGGACTATAAGTCAGATGAGCTTCAGTAACATAGCCTGGGAAAGTTAAGGATGGGTGAGGAGTGGATCTTTAATAATTTTGTAAAATGCAGAAAAGATCTGATGAGGAGGACACGAACTCACTTTCCCTCAGTCTAGCAAGAACTGGGTGAGACACACTTGGACTGAGTGCGCAACGTGGGGCATCAACGTCAGACCCAAAGAATGACTTCCTGGTGGAGTTGGTATCTAACAAGACAAGGGGAGAGGCTTTTTCCTCATTGTTCTGAGCTGGGGGTGGAGAAAAGAGGAGGAAGACCTGGTGGAATTGCACTGGCTAAGCCCTGGGCGGCTTCCTGCTTCTCTCACCTGAGATGGTGACCATCAGCTCTGAAGGCTGAGGTCCCCTATTTTCAGGGTCCCCAGATAGAGTTGCCAGAAAAATAGTGGATGCCTAGTTAAACTTGAATTTCCGATAAAAAACAATTTTTTAGTGTAACTGTGTCCCGTGAAATCTTTGGCTTGAGGGATTTAGCACCGTTTTATCTTTCTGGGGAAAGAAATACTTGGGACATACTTATATTAAAAAAATTATTCATTAGGAAATCAAACTTAATTAGATGTTTTGTATTTCTATTTGCTGAATCTGACAACTGTACCTTCAGGTGCTCTTCAGGCAGGGCTGGCACTGCAGTTGGAGGTGAGGATCTAAGTAGAAAGCTCCCATCACCTCCACTTGGGAAGAAGGAAGCCGCTTGGGAAATAGTAGTTTCCTCTGATGTGAGTCCTTTGTTTGACCAGAGACCCACTGTTAGTACTTGTGTGAATGTTGGCCATCCTGTAAGTGCAAAAGACGATATGGAAGGCTGGGGATGGAGAGCCCATGTCTATACCTGGGAATAAGGGACATTAAAGAGTAGAATAGGGTCCAGTATTTTATTGGAAAGGCTAGGAGTGGAGACTTTGGAGCTGGTTAAGGAGGGTTGACCAGAAGGCTGGTTACAGATGGTACTATGGCGCAGTGGTTTAGAGCTTGTCGTTGGTGTTAGGCAGGTCCAAGATTATCCTGACTGTCATTTACTATCTGCAAGAGCTTGGGAGATTTCTTAACACTTTTATGCCTTAATTTCCTTATCTGTAAAATAATGATTATGTAGCTTTTGTGTTTCACAGGATTGCTGTGAGGATTGAATGTAACCTTCCTTAGTCATTCTTTGCTACAAAATCACTTAGCATTACCTGAAATCAACTTGTTTATTTGTTTATGGTTTCTCTCTCTTCACTAAAATATATGTTCCATAAAAGAGGGATGTGTCTGTCTTGTTCACCACTGTATTTGAGGTGCCTGACACAGAATGGATGTTCAAGAAATATTTGTTGAATAGATAAATGAATAAATATAAAAAAACTGCTTACCCACTGCATAGCAAATAGTGAAGTGTTATCTAATCTATTTTTTTTTTTGGTGCTGAGGAAGATTAGCCCCGAGCAAATATCTGTTGCCAATCTTCCTCTTTTTTCTGCTCGAGGAAGATTAGCCCTGAGCTAACATCTGTGCCAATATTCCTCTACTTTATATGTGGGTTGCCGCTACAGCATGGCTGATGAGTGGTATAGGTCTGTGCCTGGGATCTGAACCCATGAACCCGGACTGCCGAAGCTAAGCATGCCTAACTCAATCACTATGCACAGGGCCAGCCCCATTAACTAATCTATTTTTATTGCTACTATGGTTGCTATTACTAACATTTGCTTTTCTAGGAAGTTGAATGGTAAATTTCAGTGAGGTTTTTAATATCTTAAAAATTTGGGACTTTTCTCATTAAAAAGAATTCCCCTAAAGTTGCTGGAAAGTCTAAAGTGTGCTATGTTGAAGAGACATAAGGGAGAAACTGTGTGTGGGATTTTGAAGAGAGGGGATTTGGAAATGAGGAAATCCTGGCGCAAGCTGTGGAGTGGGGATAATTCTGAAGGGATCAGATGGGTCATTCCCTGTGGGCCATGGGAGAGAAAGAAGGAAAGGGGTAGCAACTGAAGAATTCTGGGGTGGAGAAAAACTGACTCTGGTGGCTCGCAGAGTTGATAGGAACCCTGGAGAAGCAGGCTTAGAAAATGATCATGAACCAAGAGAACCTTAGAGACCAGAACTGCAGCCAGGGTCATACCACAGGGGTGGTCTGGTCAGCATGCTGTTGCCACCTGCCACCACTGGTTATGGCGACTCTTCTGGCACTGTGTGGTGCTGCTGTCTCTTGACCCTGGATGCCACCACTGCCATCATGAAATGAATTGTAAACTTTCCTCTACTCTTTGCATCACTTGGGCTTGATTGAAAATCTTAGCAGATGCATCCACAGGCACTAGCTCAGGTCACAGGCCTGTGTCTTCGCTGTCAGAGTTTAGGGAAAGCCAGTGTTTTGGCCATTTGGCTTCTGTAGAGAAGGGTGGAGTTCTGTCTCCCACAAAGTTTTTAACTACCAGATCAAAGTGAATGGCAAGTGACTTCTCAGCAGGGGTGGTAACTGGGTTAGCTGGTGAGGAGAAGCCCCTTTGGTTGAGTCGTGCATGGCCTCCTTTCCTGCCATGAAGGCCATTCTATTCACAGGCCTGTTAGAAAGAACTAGATGTGATTTGCTGGGGAAGGAGGCAGATGCAACTTTCTTGTGTCTTCAGGACGTGCATGGGTCCATCTAAACTTAGTAGTTCCTTTTGTTGGTGAAGTGCTACTGCGAATAACTAACTTTAGATTGGAAGCATCAATTTACATCCAATCTACGCTGAGCGATATAGTCCAATGACAGCCTGGAGTCAGTGGTCAGGTGTTCAGTACATAATGCTGACTACAAGAAACCCAAGAACAGTTTCATAAAAGGATACTAATTATTTTACCAAAAGGGTAAGGTTTGGCTCCCAAATCTGTGATTTGCCCTTTGACTTACCAAAGGTTCCAGTGCCGCCAACATTGAGCATCTTAGGGTGCACTGAGTAGTTCAGAAGGCCCAGATGGCAGGACCGCATCCTGGACCAGCTAGAGAGCCTTTTCTTGTTCTGGCTTTTAAGATACCTGATAAGTGGTTTGAAGCAGCACAACCAAATGGTCTATATGTTACTTCCCCAATCCAGAGAACCATAGGAGGTCTTTTTCTTACTGTAGAGAAAAAGACGTGAGGCAACTTGTCCTTAACATTTGAGGAGATCTCTTGACATCGCCAGAAAACCTCCACTGGGGTGATAGGTTCCAAAATTTGACGAGATTTACTGCCTACTCTCTGGTATGAATGCATATATAGAATTCCTGCCATTTGCTTTTCCCCAGGTGCTACCAGCATAGTCTGGTCAGTATAATGGGCCAGCGTGGTGTCCTCTAGGACGATGAGGTGATCAAGATGCCAGTGGATTAAACGGTGGTGCATAGCTAGAGCTGATATAACTCTGAGGCAGGACAAGAAAGGTGAACTTCTGTCCTTTCCAGGAGAAAGTATACCGATTCTGGAGTGTTTTCCACTTACAAGATAGGGAAAAATGCATTTTCTTACTCAGTATTTGCATACCCAGTTCAGGGGAGAAGTAGCTTTCTGGTGGTCCAGGCTGTCCTGCCCCTCCTATTCTGTGCCACTAAGCTTTTGTTTTGCCTGTCACTCTGTTTATCCTCCTTAGCGTCTTGTCTGTCCTCATCTTCCTGCTTTCTCTAAACTTACATGATCAGAGGGGGAATTCATAGTGTAGACAGTTAAAAGTGTGGGGTCTAGTGTCGGAAACTCAAGTCTGTTACTCCCTAGCTGTGTCACCTGGAGAAGGTTGTTCAGCATCTCTATGCCTTGATTTCCTCATCTTATTGAAACTGATATAATAACAAGTCCACTTAGAAGTGGATCTACTGTGAAGCTTAAACTTTTGGAGAGCTTCACTTAGATAGGCTCCTTATAAGGGCCTGGAAGGAGCTCTAGTAATTTGTTCCTATGGTCATATGTTCTTAAAAAATTGCAAAAGTGATGTATTTTAACTGCAATCTGTTGTAACTTCTGTCTCTCTCCTCTCTGACTTCCTCTCTGTCACATTTCCCCTCCTGGTGGGTGGTGCTGAAGCGGCCATGGGTATTTCTGGGTCTAAGACAAAGTTGAGCTGGGGATAGATTAGGTTTCAGTTTAGTGGGCTGTGTTTACGTGGTTCACAGTCACTTTTGAGTGTAGTTATTGCTATACCATATCCTCGTATGTTGCTAGTATAGTTAAGTTATTGCTGATGCAGGGATGACTTTGAGGAATGTGCCTTCCATTGC